ACTGCGAAATCACTGAATATTATACTTGGGTTGTTTCATAAAGATCGCGCTAATTCTAAAGGACTTGGTTTTTTCAAACTGGCTTTACTTAAATTTCCAAAAACAATCGAACTTGACATTCAAAACATAAATCTCCTAATCTTTTTAAATATCCAAACAAAAAATTATCGGGAAGCACTTTACCAAATTCAGTATATTCGTACGCACAAATTGAAACCCACTCTGCGTACCTATGATCTGCTGTTGAATGCTTGCAGACTTGCAGGGAATTTCATTACGGCAAAAAAATTAATAAGGGAGATGCGAGAACGGGAAATGATGGCTAATGCGATGATTTTAAGCTCGATACTTACCTGCACCGTAAAACTACCAAAATTAGAGATAACCGATTTGTGTTGTGTGTTGGAACAAATTGAAGAATTCAAGCTGGATATGTCGTCGCTGAAGAATGAATCTTATAAATTTCCGTTCAAGATTAATTCACTTTTTTTGAGATCAATGTTTAATGCATATTCTTTGGCTTTGGATATGGCTGATGAACAATTGCTGGATGAGAAATTAGAAACGTGGACATTCTTTAAAGATTTTTATAAGAAAAAATTGGATTCGATTAAAGATCATGAAAAGGAAGAAGAGATTGAGAGTGAATTCAATACAGAAAGCTCAAAAATTTCTTCAAACCGAGACAATTTCCTAAACTTTGAAAAAGTGCCACCAAAAACTTTGAAAACTTCATCAAAACAAAGTAATCTCATGTCCGATGATGAAAAATTGTCACGAAAATCAAAAGATTATCAAAATGATTCCGCGAGTAATAATGAAACTTCAGAACTAAGTTCGACCGGTCACGCAGATTATTTGATGACGGGCGAACGAAATGTAAAATTAGTTCGAAAAAGATATAGGTCTAAAACTTTTGATGCAGAATTTAATGATGAAGAAAAATCGCAACATGATTCAACTGACTTCAAATCACGAGAGGAAAACTATGAGGACAGAAGTTATCGTGATGATGATTCGAATGATGCGGAAGATGGATTTGCACGAAAATCAAAAGCAGAAAAACCACTAAAGCATCAAGAAAATGATGGCTTTCGGGCGGAATCAGATATAAAAGGAAGAGCAAAACCAAAATATGATGAAAGAGAAGGATCAAAAGCAGATGCAACATCTCGTGAAGGTTCATGGTCTAATTCAACTTTTGAACGACAAGAAAAGCCAAGATATCGTGATGGTGATGATGACTATTCAAGATTTGTAACAAGAAATGGACCCAGTCATACAGAGAGAAATCAAACTACTAGATTTAACATCAAACCGACAGAGCAAAGACCGAGATATCATGAACAAGAACAGGAATTCTCTAGACCAAGGTTTCGTGAAATAGAAGACAATAAAGGAAAATATAGACAAAATTATGGTGCAGAAGAAAATAAATATGACAAAGACTATCGTAAATTTAATTCCCCCATCAAGTTATGAAGTATATAAAGACAATCCTCTAGAATAATACCTGAAGAAAGCCAGCCAAAGTCATGGGATCGAAAGATTAGTGGTAGAGGCAGTCTTCGTGATACTCCACTACGGCAATCATCACTGCGATTTAGTGAAAGAAATTATAGCAGAAGATTTGGTTATAATGAGCAGCCTCAAAGATCATCTTTCAGACATAATTAAATTTTTTTTTATAATATTTATGTATTGATATTTTAATCATATAAGGTAAAGGGGGAAGGATGGATATTATGACGAAGTCCATTATCTTGAAAAGGTATTATCATACATCCAAAAAGCGTCATCAACAAAATGCGTAATGGCAGGCATAATTATTGATATGCATTATACCTTTTGAAATAATATGACATTGACTTCTTCATATATCCATCTCCCTTTTTATCTAATGTTAGCTCCTCGTGATAAAAAATATTTTACGATCTTCAAATCTCACATGATTTATATAATCAATCATAAATTGTGATCGACCAACTATGATCTCGTGACTTTAATGCAGATTCGCGTAATCTAAAAATTTTCGCATTTACACTTATTGATGTCCTTCATATCAAAACTTCCTTGCAAAAAAATTCTTCTACAGACTGGCCGACGTCAAAGATATTATATGGCCACAACAAGCACCTCAAATACTAGCCGTCGTCCAAAAGTTTTCGTGACGCAGGCTTTACTTCCAGAGGCAGAACAAATATTAGAGAATGCTGAGGGGGTTGAAGTTGAATTATGGAAAGATGGAATTATTCCCCGGGAGGAATTATTGAAAAAGGTGAAAGGTTTGTGAGGTATTAGGGATGAGATAAAGAATTAATTTTGATTAATCTATTTTTGCATTTAACAAGATTTTAATTCTAATTGGACTTAAATAAAAAAAGGTGTTGATGGAATATTATGCACGTTATGCAATAAAATTGACAAAGAAGTATTGGATGCTGCTGGTCCACAAGTTAAAGTTGTTTCGACAGTAACTGGTATGAGATATATTCAATAATAAACTTATATTTCACAATCTAAAAAATAATAATTAAATTTTTTTAGTTGGATATGACCACGTTGATGTGGAAGAACTTCGCAAGCGTAATATACCACTTGGATATACCCCAGGTGTATTAACAGACGCGATGGCAGGTAATTAATTAATAGACATACATTAATCTTATAAAGAGATGAGCATAGTATTAATATTTTCTTGATATCAACAAGATCTTACGGTTATGTTGGTGTTGGGCGCAGCACGTCGAATTCGTGAGGTTTGTTTTAATATTTAACATTTACTTTATATTTTCTCCATCTGATTTGTTGTTTATCTAATAATTAAGGGAATTTTTTCTGTGCTAAATGGAAAATGGGGCTTGTGGTCACCAAATTTTTTGTTGGGTATACATGTTAAGAACTATTATTCAATGTATTTTAAATATGGATTAATTGATTAAATATTTATTTTTATTTGTTTATTTAACAGGAACTCAATTGACTAATAAAACAATCGGGATTGTTGGTTTAGGTAGAATAGGCAAAGCAACTGCTATTCGTTTAAGACCATTCATTGGGGTTAACGGAAAAATAATTTACAGCGGAAACACTGATAAATCATATGCCGATGAAATTGGCGCAACTAGAGTTGAATTTGATACGCTATTACGCGAATCAGATATAATTTGTGTCACTTGCGCACTTACCTCACAAACTAAAGAAATGTTTAATTACGACACGTTTAAGAAAATGAAGAAAAGTGTTGTATGTATTTTTTTTTAATTTATTCAAGGCTTGCTTACTAACCTCTCTGATCGCTAATTGTTTGAACTGGATAGGTTTTTGTTAATTCAGCACGTGGAGGTCTCGTCAAACAAGATGATCTCGTACGTGCATTATCTGAAAACCTA